TTAGTGCCACTTTAAGCAAGCAATTTAATTGATTTTTTTTGAAGCCATTTCACCAGCAAACTGACAGTGGAAAGCATTCCAAAACTTTGTACATGTAAGCACATGGACAGATGACTTTGGGCCATTGTATTTAAGTCATAAAGGTCACTGACATTATGGACTTGTGACTTCAACATTACACTTCCTTGTTATCAGGATAATGTAAAATTAATTTGGAATCTTTTGGTGATGTTTGAAAACTAAAATAACAAATAAATTTATTGTTATAGTAACATTTGAATATATACTAATTTGACTAACAAGGGGACCTATATGTTCAATTATCTAAATTGCTAGGTGATATTCATAGGTGTTAACTGCCCCACCCCCAACATGTGGACACCCATGCTGATGTTTCAGAACTAAACATTACATTGTTGTGATTTTCATGTGAAAAAGGATTACTGGATGCAAAAATTCTCACATTTACTGAAACGCCTTTGTGGCCAGATATTTGCAGTATTTGATTTGAAACAATAGATTGTACAGAAGATGTAAACAAATTTATATTCGAGTTAGATTTGCATCCAATATATACTGCGTAAAGATGATGTGGCTTGATAAAGTTCTATCACTTAGGTGACCCATTTATGTCTATATCCTTCTTTGAACAGATGCAAGTTTATTTACTTCTTTAAGTTAACATTTAGACTACACTTGTATGTGTAGTGGATTCTATATCTATGTAACAGATATACTGCTTCCCCAACCCCACAACCCGCTATCACACAAGCAATACCCTTAGTTTTACCTCTTATTGTTGTTCTTTTCTTGTAGTTTTACGCAATTTTTCTTATGATGATATTGCTAAACATGACACAACAAACCCCTGTGGGGGTAACATATTCATATTCAGACAGGCGATATAATATTTCCTCAATTTCCTTTTGCTATTTAAGTTGAAAAAATGGCCACCAAAAATGTTAATTCAAATCAAAACATTCTAGAAGGCGGGGTTAAAAACGTTGACCCACGATTTCAGCCAATCAGTAAAGAAAATACTGTACAATAATTTCATGGGCTTATTTTGACCAATCAGAATCACATAAAGTGATATTTTAACGTGTGGTAATATCAAAAATATGAAACTACACATACTGTAGGAAAATGATTCTATGTGAAAAATGTATATATATATATATATATATATATATATATATATATATATATATATATATATATATATATATATATATATATATATATATATATGTATATATTACCTTGTTTAGGCAGTGGGTATTCAGCCTTAAAATAATCCTTGAAACACTCTAGAATTTGAACCTCTACATCCAGTGAGTAACTGACTTGTTGAATAGCCACTGGTCTTGCCCATGCGCCATACTGTAATAATAATAATAATAATAATAATAATCATAATAATAATCATAATCATAGAAATAAAATATTTATGTTAAAACAAGAATTATGTATTTGTAAAATTGTATATATTTTTCCAGTTGGCGTACACACTTTAGATAGCTTTCCTTGTATTATTCGCTTCCAAGAGACATATTCAACCCAAAACTACTATGATTTGCTCATGACATCCACAATAAGAAAGTAAATACATTAAGCATACATTTATGTCTTTTGTAGGTACACTGAAAGTATAAACAGAAATTAAATTCATCTTCTTTATAGCCATAGTTGAATATACTACTACTATTATTATTATTATTATTATTATTATTATTATTATTATTATTATTATTATTATTATTGGCAGTGATAGAAGTAACGATTTGATGACAAAAAAAAATTACTGCTACAACTACCTTCTAATAACGATAATTTAGAGTGCTAGTAAAAAGTGTATTGCATTATAAATCCTGGGTCAAAATCGAGAGTTTGGGATGATGGGAGTATGAAGTGTACTAAATTGGATCATGCATGTACGGACCAGTCAGTGCTTTTGCATGTTTTTTTGTTTTTTAGTATAGTTGAGTATAGTTGTAATTGAAGGTCATCACAGTTGCTAGACTGAAGCTTAAGGTAGGTTGCAAGAGCGAAATTATTAAATGGGTAATGATTTACTGCTACAACTACCATCTGGAATGAAATAAAAATTACGTCATAAAAAGAATCTCAAATTGGTAATGATTTGTTATTAAAAAATTTTTTTTGTTATTAAATAATGTCCTGCTTTTGCGAGCCATGGCTCGCAAAAGCAGACATTATTCAACGAGTTTAAAAATTTAATAACAAATCATTACCCATTTGAGATTCTTTTTATGACATAATTTTTATTTCATTGGAGATTATTTAGATAGAAAGAAAAACGAATAATTTCATTCATTCTGATTGATGGTACACCTTTTATTTCTTGTACATAAAATATAGTCCCAAAAAAAGTTGAACTGGTAGAAATAGATTGTACCTTTTTACAAACTATATATCAAAGAAAAAGCTTCCATCCGAATAAATAGAACATTTTATAACGACGAAACCTTTTTTCAAAATAGACTGATTAATGCGTTGTGATGCTGCCACATTGTTTGATACAGTTCACAGTACAGTTGGCCTAACTACATGTTTAATCTGAGCATGAATATTCCACCAGATGACAAGCAATAAATGCGACATCAATCAAGTCTATTTGAAGTTTTATTTTCAAATGTTATGCATTCACAAAATTAGATTAGATTATTTGCACACTATGAAATGTACAGTTCATGTAAGTAGATGGTTCTGCAGGTAAGCAGATAGTTACAGGATGATGAATAGCAACTCTCATTTCATATCTCTAGTTCTGTCTTTTAATTTCCTTCATCTGAATAAACATACCTCCATAAAATGCATAAACTGCAGGGTGGGGGTGAGGTGAAAACAAGCATTCATGGCATTTTATGTTTTAGGTGGCGCTCTACAGTTTCGTATTTAGCATAGGGTTAAAATTTTAAAGAAAAAGAGTTTCCCTGGGTTTCCTCACTAGTTATACTGGTTATTTAAAAGAGACTTTGTACATCTTAGGTATTGTTCAAAGAACCTTTAATTCCCTTTATTTTGATGTATGATTGATGGGTGTAATATGGGTTAGAGAGTATACAGCTTGGCCTTATTGCAGATGTGCACCTGTCAAAAAAGTGCTAGCTCTACTTGCTCATTTTCACTTCTCGAACTTCAGAGGTAAATTGTAAAAAAAAAGAGCCGATAACTTTTTTTACATTTTATGTATTTGGTAATTCATTCATTGCACTTTTAGAAGCTGGTATTATCTAGTTTGGCAAAATTCATTTTCCATATCTTTATAACTGCCAAGAATAGTGTACTTTAGACAAATTTAGGTTGATTTTTGGAGCACAAGGGAGCAGTCATTTTAGTTAGCAGTGTCCTAAGATCATTTAAAATCTCCAAAAGTACAATATCCAAAGAAATTTCATCCACATTACATGAAAATAGTATATAGGTATGCCAACATTCTCTCCACTATGCATGTTTAAAATGCAAACAACTTTACCTTACATACATCACTCTCTCAAAAGTACATAATAACTGGTGAGCGCCACCATAAAGAGTATATAGATATTATTATTGTATAATTAAATTTTGATTGTATGGCTGAAATATTTAAGTCGCAAGCATCAAAACAGTCCTTTGTAATAATTGTCCTATATTTTCCCCCTCAGAACAGCATTTATTAGAATCAGAGTCTTAAACCAGTACAGCCCCCCCTCCTTATGATAAAAAGTGAACTATTTAAAAAATGTGCATTGCATTTTGTCAACATAGCAACGAATGTTATGCTGATAGACAGGAACATGAAACTAGCCATATTTATTCCTAAGATGTCAACAATAAATTTTACAGTTATAAAAGAGATATAACAAGTGAGGTTCATAAAGGTCAAAGGGTAAAATATTAACTAATTTTTTTTATATGGAAGAAAGCAAATTTGCTTTGTTATCATTTATTTTTTAATTTTATTGCAAATAAATGAAATGAAACATTTTCACTATGTATTTCTTTTATTTCATGCAACATTTTTCAATTTAAGTTGATTTTATTTCTATATTCTAAGACTTCTAATTTCCCCATAATGAATGTCACTACTCACCCAAACATGCCTCATAGCAAATTAGGTATGCTAGAGCAAAAATAAGCATAATTAGCTTATTTTCATGAACAAAATCATTGTTAATGTACCATTTTACTCAGAACATCATAAATAATAATATGAAAATAAGAAAAATAATTGCATAAATGTTTATATTTGTTTTTAAGGTGGCGCTCTACAGTTTCGTATTTAGCATAAGGTTAAAATTTTAAAGAAAAAGAGTTTCCCTGGGTTTCCTCACTAGTTATACTGGTTATTTAAAAGAGACTTTGTATATCTTAGGTATTGTTCAAAGAACCTTTAATTCCCTTTATTTTGATGTATGATTGATGGGTGTAATATGGGTTAGAGAGTATACAGCTTGGCCTTATTGCAGATGTGCACCTGTCAAAAAAGTGCTAGCTCTACTTGCTCATTTTCACTTCTCGAACTTCAGAGGTAAATTGTAAAAAAAAAGAGCCGATAACTTTTTTACATTTTATGTATTTGGTAATTCAGTCATTGCACTTTTAGAAGCTGGTATTATCTAGTTTGGCAAAATTCATTTTCCATATTTTTATAGCTGCCAAGAATAGTGTACTTTAGACAAATTTAGGTTGATTTTTGGAGCACAAGAGAGCAGTCATTTTAGTTAGCAGTGTCCTAAGATCATTTAAAATTTCCAAAAGTACAATATCCAAAGAAATTTCATCCACATTACATGGAAGTAGTATATAGGTATGCCAACATTCTCTCCACTGTGCATGTTTAAAATGCAAACAACTTCACCTTACATACATCACTCTCTCAAAAGTACATAATAACTGGTGAGCGCCACGATTTTAATAGATCTTCAACTTGAACAAAGGTATTTGAAGATAGCTTGATCAATGAATTTTTAGTGAAGACAAAGACACTATTGCGTAGATTGGTGGCCTAGTAGTTAGAGCATCCGCCTTGAATGCGGGAGGTCATGGGTTCGATCCCCAGTCGAGTTATACCAAAGACTTACAAAAATGGTTCAAACAGCTGCCTTGCTTGATGCTCAGCATTAAGAGGTTAGTGATAGGACCGGTCAGCCTGGTGTCAGGATAATGTGACTGGGTGGGACATCATGCTACATGTCTGCAGCATGATTCCCCAGTGCTAGACAGCGCTATAAACTGCCACCCTGCAGACATCGTAGCGATATGACTAAAAAATTGTTAAAAACTAAAAATTATAAACACTACACCAGACAAACAGAACAAGAAATGGATAAAAATAGGGTGGATGGACAGATATGGATTAACAATGAGGGAAAGAGAATGGATAGATAACAGATGAACAATTAGTGAACAGATGAATGGACAATTAGTGAACAGATGGAGCTGTTTGATAGACAAACTCAGTACTTGTGCACAAATAAAAGGATGGAAGGAGATACTGACAGACAGTTGCTTTGAAAAGGTAAATGATCAAATATACACAGATGAGCACACTTAGACTTTGGACAGATAATATAAAATTGTATTGTGAAGAATTGGATAGAAGCACTTGTGGACTTTAAAATATTTCTATAATGTTCATTGGGTCAAGGGAAAGACTTACTAAAGCATTTTAAAGACAATGGACACTCATTCTGAATGAAAGAGGGTGTGACTAATTATGATACCATTTAATTATCTCAACATATGGGAAACCTGTTGATGCTCAATAAAGAAAGTCATGTTTTAAAGTCCATTGATGGACACATTAATTCAGGAACATGCTAAGATTCTGCTGGCCTAATATTCCAACTTTCATTTAAATGTCACAAGGCAATCATGCATTAACACTAAAGCATATGCTGATGTGGTCATGAAGATGTATTGATGCAAATTAAATTATGTATTAGTAATGGTTCCCTGACCCAATGGTCAACCTAATTATGAGGCTATAAAAAAGAAATTATGTATAAGTCATGTTGGTCTCTGCAGGAGAAATATATCTCTATTTTGCTGCCTTTAATTTCTCTACTGGAATTTTGCAATTTATTTTGAATAAGTTGACAACTCAATAAATTAACATGACTTTAACTTTCTTTTTTTAAATAGTTGACAAAAGATACTTCCATGCATATTTCACATTTTTGCACACACTGATAGGCATAAAGTATACAATCTCAGCTAAAACAGACACCAAATCTTATCACATCTATTTCTGTTGTATAATGAGTTTCAAATAGAGAACAAAATGATTGAAATGCAAAGAGAATTCACAATTTTATACAAGTTCAAATTATTTTTTATTTAAACATAATTCTCTGCTGACAGTGAATGAATGAAATGGCATAAAACATAGACCTAATTTAGTAATATTTCTTAACCAAATTATGATTAAATATTAATTTTTGTCCAAAGTTTTCTTTACAAATTTATAACTTTGTTTCCTTGGATGATCTTTTATAGAGCAATGAGGGACAGATACCTCTATTTTTATTACAGAGTGCATTTACACCCCAACATAGTTCTTTTACATTATTTTTTCAGTCTTTGCTACCACTTGACAAAATACTGTCATGCTTGATGCATGTACTGTATCATAAATATTGTCTAGAAGAGAATGTTTCTGGCAGTTTTCAGTGTTCCATTCCCACTTTATCACATGACATCAAGACCTTGCCATGTGATTTTAAGATGTCACAGAGGTTGAACTATTATAAATATTTTATCACTTTACCATAGATATAAACTTGTCCATGAAAATGTATTTTTAGGCCACTTAGAGACTAAAGCAAGCCTAGTCCATTGTTTAAATGATGCTGATCCACCAATACTTAAAAGAAAATAGAAAAATTTTGAATCACTGAACAGAATTTGATAATTTGACAGAAAGCATCCCAGAATGGATGCGTTTTAATTTTTGCTGGTTGACAGTAAAATATAGCTGTTGTTACTGAAAACAAAAACATTTCATTGACTTCTTACAATCTTCTGTTCTTCAGGCGATGACTTCTCAAAATTTCCTTTTCAGATTTTTGGCCAATTTTGTTATAAAGTACCCTGGCATGAAGGTCAATTTGTTTAGTTGGTGCCAAATCACTGTGTACACAATTACTCAAAATAAAAAAAACATTTAAACAACTTCTCAGAAATATTTTAACAGAATGAGGCCATATTTAATAGAAAGCATAACATTCTCTAATTTGTAATTAAATGATGGTAATCTCTACTATATCAGATATGCCTAAGAGCCATTGCTAAAATAAATAGTTTTATAAATGATGCCATATGAAAAACCATTCATATGATTTTGACCCGCTTTGATGGAAAGCATTTTGGAATAAAGCTCTTTGAAATTTGTTCCAATGATGCTGACTCAATTAACAAAACCTGGTCAACAGAATTTAACCAGATTTGATGGAAAGCATCCTGGCTTTAAATTATGCACATCTGATGGCTGATCTGCCTGCCAGCTATTACTAAATATAGAAAACCTAAAGATGACATCTTCTCAATCAGTGCTCATTAGAATTTGATACAAATTGACAAAAAATACCCCAATATAAAGACTTTCAATTTTGTATTTAGATGATGCCAGTACACTTCTAAATATAGCTACCATTACTAAAAATAAGTCAAATCTTGAAACGATCTCTCAAAATTTGACAATTTGTTTTTAAAAGATTAAAATTAGATAGCTGTTTTACTTCAAAATGGAAAATTTTGTTAATGGCTTCTCAAAAATTACTCAGCATGATTTGACCAAACTTTACAGAAAGAATTCTTGCATGCAATGTTTTTAAATTTGTACAATTGATGCAAATTTGCCATCAATAATAGGTGACATCACTAAAATAGAAAAATCTTCCAGATCACTACTTAAAAATCTGATTCAATTGGACTGTTTAAAATCATAGCTTGATTGCCATTCAGGTTAATAGAGATGATGCTGTTCTGCCTGCAAATATGGTAGCCATTTGTAATAGTAATACAAAATTATTATGGGTCTATCTGAAAGCTACCACACAGAATTATACCAGTTTTAACAGTGTTCAGGCATAAGGGCTTTTCTGACATCAAATATATAGTAACATACGAAAACCTAGAAACAATCATTTCCCTGACATATACAATTGACAGTATTAGAAGAAATTTCAAGAGAAATCTTAATACCCATAGCAGTGGGTGTGGGTGGGTGTGAATCATACAGAGTTTGGAGGGGTTATTTTGAAAAAATAAAGCTTTCTACAAACACAGTGGCTATTGATTCAGACAAATATTTTTCAGACAAAGCGGATGGTGAATCCTTTTTTTTATATTCTAAAATAAAGCATCCTATAAAAATGAATATACATGTACAGTCACTGACATCAAACCAAAGTATCTAACCGACCGAGACTTCCTCTAATTGATTTAGCTTTTTTTTGATTTCGACTATTTTCATTCGTTTGCATGCTCATTTGCCTGTCAGGCACTCAGTTTTTGTCATTGCCCTTGCTGCTGCTGTCTCTCAACCAACAATTTTATCAAGACTTACATGATACCTCAAACGAAGGATCATGTAAATTTATCATGATAAATACGTGTGAGGTAGCTTGCACTTTTGAAAAGAAGTTTCTGACTTTAATCATATTTATGTCTCCTGAACACCATTCTGGTGGATGTTTCTTAGTGTGTGGGTTTTGACTCCATTAAAGACAACCAGAAGATTACAGTTATCTCTGATTACTTTAGGTGTTGTGTTTATTGCTGAGTAACATAAATCACATCAGTATTTTTGTCTGCCTGGGGGGGGATATCCGAGCTGGATTTCATACGTTGTTCAGCATAATATCATATACTGTGTCATTTCTCATTCGTATCTACTGCTCTAGCTAACAATCTTCTAATAACCCCTCCACACCAAATGGTGACAGCTTACCCATTAAAATTAGAGTAATACAATATGGCTCCAAATAGACAATATGAGGTGGTCAAAAACCCAATGACCATCAGGCCCCACTGTACAAGGCAGAAAATAATTACAATATGGCTCCAAATGGACAATATGAGGTGGTCAAAAAACCCAATGACCATCAGCCCCCACTGCACATGGATAAAAGACAGGCTTACCCAGTAAGACGCCAAAAATTAACACATAAGGTGTTCTAAGCCCAGGACCATCAGGGCCAGTCACACAGGGTGACAAATCACAGGTAATCAATTGACTGTCACCAAGGTTCTCTAATTAACATTTCTTATAACTAACATAACAAAACAGCATAGTGCTCCAAAACAAAAATTTCTCGTAAAAAAAATCGTCCAACAACTAGAAAGCAGTAATGGATCCATCACTGAGGAAAACAACACAGAGGACCAAAACAAACCAATAAACAAGAGTGGACCAACACCTTTGAGACAGCCCTAGATGTCTAGCTGCCACATGGAGCCTCCTTACCCTTTCCCTGGAAACCTCCTCCAACTACCACCAACAAGTGTGCAATGCGAGCACCAGCAACCAGAAAGCAGCCATTAATACATCACTAAGGAAATCAACACAGAGGACCAAAACAAACCAACAAACACGAGTGGACCAACACATTGGAGACATCCCTAGATACATAGCCATATACATATACAGAGCCGCCTTACCCTTAACCTTTCCCCAGACTGATCATCTATGGATGGCGACGCTAAATACAACTTATTATTGTCAGATTAAGCAACAATTGCTTCTTACCAGACCCATACGGGACCTATTATAATTGCTCTGATAGAACTTGGTAGCACTGGCTGATGCTTGATTGGCTCTTGCTTTCGCATCGCTGAGAAATCAATGACGTACATATTGTACAAACATAATAAATAATATGCATTTATAGTGTGTTCGATGTAGAGCACCCACCACTACCAGTGGCTTAACAACAGTAATAACAAAATCTAAAAAATGTACGTTTACAGGCAAGTGTGTGAAATGTGGTACAAGAAAATATATTTATTTTGTCGCGTACGAAGACAGAACAGTGACATTGCTGCTTTGTTGGGAAAATTACCAG